CAGGTCTCAGCCACCCTTCCGCTTGGCATGCGTTCAACACGCATGACGTCGTCACACATCAGTCATGATATCATGCATGAAGACAGGACTTCCCCAGTGACGACGACCGCATCATGCAGCACCGAGCAACGATGTGATACGACAGCAGCAGCAGGGCATAGACAGCCTGTGGACGTTGCTGTCGACCTCTCACGCCTGTGTGTGGAGGTATCTCGTCCTCTGTTGTCCTCCGTGTCGGACGCACTTGACGAGCTAACGCCATTGATGAAACGAGCCATTGCTCGACAGCAAGCTCCGTCATCTTCGTCAACAGAATCGCCGAAGAACTCGTCTTCACCATTGTTCTCGCTGAATGATGTGAATGCCAATGTGCGATTGAAGCACATCACCGCGCTAGCCCTGCTGAATCAGCCAGGTATGGTAATAGCGTTCAAGATAGGTTTGTGTGTGTGGAGGGGGGGGGGGGGGGGGGCGTGCGTGCGTGCATGTATGCGTGTGTGTGGAGGGGGGGGGGGGGGGGGGGTGCGTGCATGTATGCGTGTGTGTGGAGGGGGGGGGGGATGCATGCTTGTGTGCATGTTTGTATGCATGTGTACAATGCTCCTGTGCATGCTTCTGTACACGCTTGTGCTCAATTTCTTTTTTCTAATTCCACAACCTAACAGATCATAAGGAAGACCATACAGAGGACATTGAAGGGCCTATAGATATAGGAGTGATGATGGGGTACGAAGTGCTCAGGCGACACGTGTCTCGGTGTCACAGCACACCATACTGTAAAACTGGAAAATTTCGGTGGAGTTTTATTTTCGGTAACTTCGGTTCAGGTAATTTTTACCTAAAATAAAACGCACCGAAAATCTACGTACAAGCATGTCGACTGCAGTATGGAAAACTGGTTTACCCAAATTTTCGCGCTACCTAACCGTTGATTTTGGGGAATACCGAAAATATTACACCATCGAAAATTCCTGGTTTTACAGTACGCATCGCTTTGTGCCCTGTTCCTTGACCCCATATGCACTGTGAATATTGTTGTGTTGTGTGTGCGTGTGTGTGTGTGCGTGCGTGTGCGTGTGTATGCTGCTCTTTGCAGGTGCTGTGATGGGCCTGGCCCATGTTGGCAGTCTTCACCTCAGTCACATGCCGACGCTGGCGGCACGACAACGCCAGGTGGCGAGCCAATCAGCCACCACCTCCTCCACCAGCACCGCAGGGGATTCCCCTGCTAGCGCTGCCACCACAGCAGTCGGTGAGAGGAGTGAAGAAGCCGCCATCATTGCAGTCTCCGATGGTGAGGGTGCAACAGTACACGGTACACCACGAGCATCTGCAGACCCAACACAAGTGCCATCCGCCGGTGGTGTCGACTCCACGGAACACACGCCACTGCACGTACCAGGGGTGGCAACGCAAGGCAGCATGACTGCTCAAACTGCTCATGTTGCTGGTGATGAACCTCTTCCAGCATCTCAACCTGCAGCCCAGTCCTCACTGCCACAGCTATCATCTTCTTTCATTGCAGACCTGAAGACTGGAATCACAGTCAATGTCAAATGTGTTGCTTTGGCTACCATGACGGCGAGCTGTGAGAAGGTGAGCAATGTGTGTGTGTGTATACATACGCCTGTTTATCAATCTGTGGTGGAATTCACCCTGGTGTGTGTGTGTGTGTGTGTGTGTGTGCGTGCGTGCGTGCGTGCGTGTGTGTGTGTGTGTGTGTGTGTGTGTGTGTGTGTGTGTGTGTGTGTGTGTGTGTGTGTGTGTGTGTGTGTGTGTGTGTGTGTGTGTGTGTGTGTGTGTGTGCTGGCTGTGCATCGCTGTCCTGTGTCCACGGATGTCCCCACTATATCTATTCGCCATGAATCTGACTCTTTTCGATGTGATGTTTGTCTCCGCTCTTTCCGCTCTCGTTCTGGTTTGAGCCGTCATCACTGTGACCGTGCGAAACGGATGTCACGTGCAGCCAGGAACAACTGCCGTCATGAATGCGAGCATTGCGAAAGACGGTTCTCAAGGCCACAGGACTTGCAACGCCATGCCAAATATTGTTGACTTTGCGATTTCTCTCTCTTCTCTTCTCTCTTCTTGTCGTTGTCTCCCGTTTCTGGGAGCGGCGTGGCCCGATAGGGTAGCTGTACATAGTAGTAGTAGTAGTAGTGTGTGTGTGTGTGTGTGTGTGTGTGCTTGTGTGTGTGTGTGGGGGGGGGGGGGGGTGCGTGCTAATGTAGGTGGGCTCCATGCAGTTAAACTACAAGCTTAGTATTCCTGTAGTCTGTCTCTCTGTCTGTCTGTCTGTCCATTTGCCTCTCCGATTGGTTTGTATGTTCCTTTTTCCATGTACCGTAAAGTACCGCCAGAGCGCCCCGTCTCGCGAGAGCGCCCCACCTTGATTTTACAGCCAGAGGAAGGAAGATCGTATGGCAGAGTGCAACGAAGTTTGTACGATGTGAGAATCTTAGTGTACTAAGGTCACACTTGGCAGGTTTTTGTGTGGAGT